ATGAAGTTTGCATTAAAACTTTAATGGAGTCAAAAAAATATATCATAGCAACATCGAAGGTTTATTAAAGCAATAAGGCAGCTTGTTTGCCCCTTATTGCGTCTAGAGTTGCTGTCGCAACATGCAACTATAGAACATATAGGAAAGTGGGTCTTGTGTGCCTGCAAATATGAAATATACTGCAAGTGCAACTGCACACTGACTTGTTCGGAATGCCTGACAACATTTTAATAATGTTGCCAGGACAGCCGCCGGAGGAGGCAAAGGGCGACAGCGGAATGCCATCTTATGTGTTGGCTTTTTGCCGCCTCACGATGTCTATTCCTCGCAGGCTCTTTGCCAGTACCAATGCCTTCTGTGAAATTGGCAAATGTATGACTACACATTTACAAGCTGGATATTAAACATGGCAGGAGGGGAAGTTTTCCACACACCCAAAATAGGTGAAAAAGCTGCCGAGATAAATTCAGCATTTAATGGGAATATTTCTCACATTCATTGGCAGTTGAAAGCTTACCATATTTACCTGCGAGTGTTGGTTTAACTTTTGAACTTTCCATTTGCTATTTGAAAAGATGTTTTCAAGCCAAGCGAACAAAGAGTGCCCTTTTGGCTATCTCGGTTCCTTTTTCCTGGCAAAAAGTTCAAGGTGAGCCAAGAGCTGCGTAAAATGCCAAGGTTGTTGTCGGTGAAATGCCTCTGGCCATAGCCAGTTTGAAAGCATTTCCCTAAATAAAAGAGAGAGCAAAAAAGAGATTTTGGCTTTGATGGGGCAAGCCAAAGAAACTAATTTTGGAATTTTGATTGGGATTTGATCTCGCCAAGGCATAAAATGCATTGTTACTATTTATGGATCGTCTGGCGCCGCAAATAAAGCCAATGTGCTGCCCAGGCGACAAAAATAATTGAACATAAAATCCCACGCATTGTGTTTTTTTTGTGTCTCTGGCTAATAATCAAAATGGATGCTGAAGCGCTTCGTTTATAAATGCTGGCGTCACGAAACTTTGCCAATGGACATAATGCGCCCGAGCCTTCCAAACTTGCGATGCAGTGTATCCAAACCCCAAGCCGAAACTCGTTCAATTGCCAAAAAGAAAGGGCCAGCGTCTGAGGGTCCAAAGGAAAGCAAAAGAAAGTTGTGCAAAGTCCATTAAATACATAAACCTGCCACGAAATGTTCATGGAAAGCGCATAAAGAAAGTTTGTAGCCAGTGAGGCAGTCAGCCGGCCAACAGGGCGGATGGGTGCAAAGTGCCCGGCTATTTATGCTCGCCATATGTGACGCAGTCGCAAAATCCAGCCATGGGCCGTAATAACTTGATTTGCGCCCATTGTGGCGACGCAGATGCAGCACAAAAATATGGGCGGCGACACGCCCCCTTCCGGATGAAGCCGGACCATGAAGACGCCGGACTTCGCCGGATTTCGACTGCCCCGTCAGCGTTTGGCTTATTTATGACTTCCTTTGCAGCGGAAATGTAAAAGGCATTTCGGTTATTATGCACATTTATGTCAATGTGGCAGAAATTGATGCTCGTAAAAAGTAACAACTGCAGGGAAACGCCCCCAGGGCCCAGACTTAGGACCCTGGGGCCAATACAATATGTTATTTCAATATTGCGAGTCGTAAAAGATTAAAAAGATATTAGGTGGAATAACAAAATGGGTATTAAACAAGGGTGGAACTGTAATCAAACTCCATTTTGTCGTATAAAAATAATATGCACATGTTAAGATGTTTATTGAAAAGCAAAGGAAAATCAAATGAAGAGATTCATAATTTTGTAATACTTGATTATATGATCTCTCTCTTTTAAGAATATATTACACTTTGTTAAAATGTATATGTTTTGTAGAATACAAATATTATAAAATATTTTAATAAATAAATTTACTATAATCACAGTATTCACAGTATTTAAATAATACCCTCTTCCAAAGAAATGCGTAAAAAATAAATAAAGGACCAAATGCTTGCATTCAAAAGAAAGCGGAAATAAATTAACAAACTGTCCAAGTTAAGAACGATAAAAACGTCATGGTCGACCATTAGAAAACCATTAAAAGAGCATTCAAGTCAGTCTGAGGAAATCAAATAAAAAACTCAGCTGGGTCAATTGTCTAGCAAGTCAACTGTCCGAAAATGGTGGGAGGACATAAAAAGAAAGCCGGAAATGCGGCGAAGAGAAAGTCGCATGGACACATGTGTTGCTGCGATGCTGGCAATCCTTTTGAGTGATTTCTGCGAATTAATTTCAAACTTTTCGCAAGTCCTTAGTTTCTGTTGGCGAGCTTGTGCGAGAAAAGCTCTTTATCTTTTAGCCAAGGAAAATCCGAGATGGGCAATAAAATCCTGCTTGAGTGCGATGCTCTTTTTTTCCGGTTGCCCCATTGACTCCTCGGCTAATTGCCGACAACGTCGAGAATTAACCACCGAGAATGGCTATTATTTATTTTAGCACCACTAAAATATTTATGCAGATGATTCCCTTTGCCTCACCGAAGTCTCCTCTTTCTTTTTTTTTGCCACGGCTGCGGTCATAAATTTCCATCGCAAAGTAAAGCAATTAAAATTTGCATAAAATTCGAATATATTTGCCGGCTTGTCTAAAAACTAAACATCAACAGGGCACGGGAAAAGGAGCACTCGAAACTACACACACGCATGGGGGCATGTAAAACATGACAGTCGAAAGGGAGGAGATTGTACAGACATACTGTGAGTGCCTTGAATCTGGGTACGAAATGAAAAATTACGTATACGCCATGTAACACTTGGCGCATAAACTTTGAAGTGCACTCGTTCACAAAAATGGCAAAGTTCTCCGACGCACATGGCGAATAATTACAGAAAATCCAAATACAGGGCTGGGAGTTGGAAAATAAAATTCAATAAACTCGTAAACCGAATCCCATGAAAATGTCCTTCGATTGGAAATATATGGTTTTATATTGAGCAGCTGAAATAGCTTGTTGTGGAATAAATTTTACTGGCAGTCAAGTAAGAGGATCAAGAAGTGTGGAGGGAATTTTAATTGGACTGAGGATTTCCATCCAGCGTTTGGAATCTTGTAAGCTGTTTAGACATTCGCATATATTTCGGAGATACTCTACAAGGGCATGTGTGGCAAGCCCCAAAATATCGACATATGCAAATTTAATGAAGACTTGCATTTAGACAGATATGAACTGTGTGCTTCCTCTGGTCGTATCTTTTTCTATGCCAATACTTTTTGGTCCTATTTGTTTAGGTTCTCTGGTGTTTTTTGTGTGCGTTTGCGTGTTTGCTTTTATCGGGGGAGATGGACACTTTTGCGCCCTTTATCCCTTTTCACATCATTTGGGACCTAATCTCCTGTGATTTATTCATAGACTCCGTTTTTGCACCATTAGTTTTGCGTATATTTGCATAGCCTCACAGGGTCACGCCTTCATCCTGCGGTTGGCACTTTTGGCGCTTACCCTGCAATTAATATTCATAATTACGAGCTGCGACTGCTGATGTTGATGCAACGTGTCCTTAAACGCCGCCATCATTCACACTCCCACCCATCCACACATCCGCATCCGCGTGTGAGCAGTCATCGTGCATCCTTAAACGCAATGCACTTCATATTCATAATGGCAATTTTTTACGCTTGCCATCTTGGGCAGCATTATGCACAACAATAAATTTATTCAACACATGCCAAGTCAGCCGAGGAAACTGAACGAAAGGAAAGGAAACGGAACGAAACGAAAGGCAAGGACACTCTGAGTGTTTTACAAAATTGTCTGAGCGGGTGTCCTGATGATTTATGCCGAGGTCTTAAATTACACACGCCGAGCAGAACTTGCTGATATTGCAGTTGTTGATGGGGGCCATGTAAATAATAGTGAGTATCTGGGCTGCCACTTGATATATATTTAAACGGCCAGCAGAGCCCATCGCCTGAATGGGGATTTATGCGGCTAAAACACATTCAAGTTATCACGGCCAAAGCCCCCAAAGGCCATAAACACCGAGTGCCACGCCCCGTTCGTGTCGATTTAATGTCAATAAATACTCGTGGCCGACTGGTGAACAAAGCCCACTACTGATAATTCAACTAATTAGCATTCAAGTTAATTATTTCGAATTCAAATGTTGAGCACGCGTCGGCCATTTTGTTATTGTTATGTCAGCTGCACGCTTGTTTATGTGTGCGTGCCGAACCGGAAATTACGTCACTGGCGAAAGTGTTGATAAATTTAAATGGATATTCCGCAGGTTACTAAACCCAGCCCCGAAATTTCGTCCAACCAAAAAACCACATTGGCATCTGCATATCCCAAATATGGAATGTCGAGCATGGTTTTAATATTTCCACCACTCGGAGGCATGGGTTTGTTATAAGAAGTGAGCATGTTTTCTGCGCTGTCTGGAATTTTTCGGACACAAAACCCTCATTTGAACACGCTCGACGGGAAAGGCAAATAAAATAAATGAATAAATGCATATTTTTACCCACTGCGGTATTCGGATAATGCGCCAAATGAAAACCCGCCACAGCGAGTGCTATTCAACCGAAATTTATTAAAAAATTCCACAAAATCGACATATTCATGATCCGGATTATTTAAACTATTTTAATATTTTTGCGGTTTTGGGCAGAACGTGCTGGAGCCACCTAACAAAATCGAACTATGCCCGCCCCTGTATACCAAATGCATATAAATGGTATTCACTGAAGAAAATGTTTCATAGATGATTTAAGATTATTCAAATATTTAGTAAGCATGATTATATATTAATTAAATAGTTCACATACAATATTTTATTTAAACTTCTTGGTTTCAAAAATGTTGGTAAAATTGAAATATTTTTTTTGCCTGTTACTTTATAAAATGTATTTTTGGTTCAGTGTCTTTAAAAACTAAGGATCCATTATTTGTGGTCGGCTGCACCACAGAAATTGAACTAATTGACAGAATAGAACTAGTTATTCAAAATGTGGATATATGTAGACCTAGTTGCCTTGATTCCTGTAATCATTAAACAAATCGATTCATAACACTTTTGTAAAAACAAGGAATAATATAAACCAATATTTTTCCATAATGACGGACTTTAGCATTGCCAAGTTTAATAACTATCAGGAATATCTGCACTCCTTCACCACCGTCGAGGACTTTCGCTACTTGCCTTTCCACAAAACAGTCACCACTCTCACGAAGCTTGGTTATCGGGAGCATCGTACTTTTTATGAAGAAGATGAGTTCCTAAACGTAAAAAAGCAGGTGGAACAGCTCCTGAATCCCACGGTTTCTGCCCAGATATACTACAGTCAATATTTCAAGGGATCTGATCCTGCTCTTTGGGCTTTGGCCGAACGTGAACATGTCAATGTCCAGCAGGAGATATCGGTAGGTCTTCATCAAGTATGGGATTATAAACTAATAATTATTTCTTTATCAGACCATCATCTTTTTGGAAATAAGTGGAAGAAGTGGTTTTTCCAAGTCCGGCTATATCGACTTTGAGGCCAGTCTGCGTAACTGTAGATTCAAAGGACCAAATGCAGTTGACTGGCGTGCAGTTTTCGAGGAGCGAAAGATGCTGAAACCCCAGCCAAGCGACATAGTCTTCTACGACTGGAAAACCAGGAAGATCTTTGCGAACGACAACGATAATTATACAGTGGTAGCTCATCCAGAGCATGGGCTAATGTTTACCCACAAGGGTGATCATAAGAATATACCGGTCACCACCAAAAAGAATCCCTTTTCCAGCAACGTAAGGCGTTCTATGATCAGATCGAATCTGTACGGTTTCATGATATTGTATGATCACCATGTGCGCAAGAAGACCTAATCGGAATCGTTTCGATGTTTGACTTTACAAAAATGGAATTTCTGGGATACTAATTTTTTTATCCCATCTAATAACTGTCCTTCATTTAATATTAATGTCATCTGATAAAACCTAATGCTTGCAACGCTTGGGCAAGCAAAATTCCACTTAAGTTGTCAACACTCTGCCGCCTCCACACATACACACAGTCACCCCTCCACTCACACACTGACACTCTCCAGGACACGCACGCCCGCCTTCGCACATCCATCCACACCTTAAATACCCAAATCAAAAAATAAATGGTAAACACTGGACGATCCCAACCCCCGAGACCACATGGCCCCATGTCCAGGGCGAGACTCTATCGAAAAATGCTGATGATATGATATTTAGAATATTTTTTTCTCAGCCTGCTAGGCGGTTAGTCAGGCAGCCTGGCATGTGTTCTTGGGGATTGGGGTCTCAAAATTCCTGCAGAGCATGGCAAATATTTATTTAATGCTCCGCAGTGGACAGCCGATAGCCAGACATGCAAACCGGGGGGTTGGAAATACTACTTGTTTGCTTTTGAGGGTGGGAATGGTGATAGGAATGGGGCTGGAGCCTAGTCTTTGAGTCTGCCCCATTGTTTCGGTCTTAGCAAGTTTGTTGCTGCTATTGCTGCTTAGTTAATTTCTGGTCATCAACTGCAGAGCGGCTTTTGTTTGGCACCCAGACAATGGCACATGACTGGAAAAAAAGTTAAGGAAATACTTTAAAATATTTCTGAAAGTAGTTTCTTGGAAAATCTTTAAAAAGCTGGTTCTGATACTATAGATTTTTAAGAAAGAAACAATATCAAAAGCAAGAAACCATACCTAGGCAATAGCTGACTTTTAATTAACATTATATTTGTTTAAAGATCAGATAGTAAACTGATTTATATTTTTCTGTGTGTGCTGACTAAGCTCGGAGCCTTGGAAGAGCTCCAAAAGTGCCAGCAAACAACAAAAGAGGAGTTCTGGAGGCGTGGCCAGTCTATTGTGAAAGTATGTGTCTAGTTTTAAGTGCTTCCAGTGTGTATAAATCACATTGTTGAGCATTTTTACCGATTGTTAAGGTTGAGGTGCAGGTAATGTCTGCGCATAAAAGTATGCAATAAAATATTTTGTTGCCGCCAGACGTTTTAAGTGGATTTTGCAGACCACAAAATGGCTTAATAGGCTGAGAAGAAGGGGACGGGGTCCCGAAACTTTGGGTTTCATTAGCATTAACGGGCGGTTGGCTGGTCGGCCGGGTTGTCAACACGCCCACATCTGATAGCCAAAGAACCCACGACCAGAAACAATATTTATGTGCAGGTTAACACGTGAGTGCGAGGCGGCGTGTGTGTTTGGGTCTGTTTGCTCACAAACCTGATTACAAAACTCATAAAGTCGCCATGAAATTCAAACAATGCGTTACGTGCATCGAATACTGAGAGCCGCTCAAAGGACAAGATGAGGGGCCATCCCACACACACACAAAATCACGTACAAAGGACCTTATAGCCACATAGCCATGCATAAACAACGCTTTTGTTTGACCCAAGGAGTTGAAAGCGGCTGATGTGTGCGAGGGCCTGTTTATTACATTTTGATTATTGCAATCTCGTTTCGCAGGACCCGAGAACACATCAAAGGATCTCAAACTGATTTACAGTTGCCGAAAGTCGGCGGAAAACAAATGGAAACATCGCCGAAAGAAATCAAATCAGCCAGTGGGGCCCAACTTTCAGCAACTTTAAAAGCATTTTAACGGCCGTCCAACGTGGAATATATATATAAATATAAATATTTATGCGAGTGGGCCGCAAAGCGATTTGTCAAAAGCGGTTCTTACTTGTGGATTATGAATACTTTGCTTGAATTTAGCTAACAGCAGAAAATTATTACGCAATGATTAATATTTATTTGCCCGGGCCACTGAGCAGCATTTCCCAGCGGAATTTCTAGGGCCCAGAGTCGGAGTCGGAGACCAAGAAAGTGGCCACAACAAGTGACAATGTGCTGAATACCAACATTTTGCTCCTCAGCCTCCTTGGGAGCCGCTCAAAAAGGCATTTAATTCAGATTTATGCCCTGCACGGCATTGTGACAGGACGAAAGCAAACACTGGGCAGCGTGTCCTGCGAAAATTATGATATTTGCCATCCTCCGAGGCGCTCGGCCTGTTTGCTTTGCCTGCTGATAAGCTATCGAACAATAAAATAGCCTCGCCCCGGAGATTGGGGTTCGAAGTTTCGGGGGCCAGGCAAATAAGGATATGCGCAAATAAAATAGCAATAAATCAAAACGATTGACGATCTCATGATGCGGCTGGCCCCAGCGATTAAGGCCTCAGTGCCCGAACCGAGATTTTACCCATATAAATCGACTTGGGGTCGAAAAGTGATTTTGATTGTTATTTGTTTGCCGGCATCTTAGTTAGCCGCCTTCGCCTGTCGACTCGCGACTTGACAAGCAATTTATGGCGATATATTCTATAGAAGGATCCATAATTTATGCCGGGCGGCAGGAGAGTCGAGAATCACTGCAGCGGAAGCGCGAATTCGGAGTTCGGAGCTGGAGGAGTTGGAGGAGTTGGAAGCTGCCACTGTCAATAAGGAAACTTCATTATAAATTACCCAACTGACAGTTGCAGGCAGACGCCGAAGAATAATAATAATGGCAGCCGAGGCGAAAGTTAAAAGCCAAAGAAAACCCCCTCGTCAGCAGTAAGCTTTTACCCACCCCGGAGATTGTTTCAATCTGCTTAAGCGACCAAGTCGAGGTCGGAATCGAAGGCCCTAGCTTTTTGGCCCGCAGGCAATCAGCCATGCAACCAGATCTCCAGAGTTCGCCCTTCTGCCCACCGATTGTTGTGTTTAAAATTGCTGAATAATTGTGCGGAAGTTGGTCGCTGTTGCATTTTGTGATGAGAGAAAAAAGCAGAATAAAACGGGGAGTCCATGAATCACATAAAAAGCAAATGTCGCGTCGTTAGGTTAAAAGCTTTATGCAAATTTTCCTTTGCTTCTTATCATATTCTCTTTGCTGCGCTGCAAGCTGAATGGAAATTGTATTGAACAGGGTAGGAGATTGTATTGTGGGGGTAGTTTATAGATGTACCCATACATATATAATACGCCCGATATAAGGTTGGTTGAGGGGGCGGACATGGATGTGCAACTAAGCTGAAGTGTCTGCAATTAGGTGCAATTGTTTGAGAGGAAGTGTCATTCAGCTAAGCATTTGAACACGCAGGGCACTTATTAACCCTTCTTAGGAGTATTATTATTACTGCAACAACAGCCGTTCGAAAGCTTCTTATTGAATCGCCCAGATAAGGGTAACGAATTAATTAATTTTAGTCGGACTACCTTGCATAAAATGGGCAGTTGTGCACTGAGGAAATCCCATGATAACATTGTTTTCTATAAAGACAAATAAATAATGAAAATATGAAACTTTTCAGGTTTGAATGTAAATGGTTTGAAAATTGAACTATGAGTTAAAAACTGTTCAGCTTAGAATGCCAAAGGATTGCAAATTAAGCTACGAGCATAACGAGGTATGGCATTCCTTATTCTGACCTTTAATTGCACTATGGCAGCAATACTAATTTTTAGAGCAGAAAAGACAGATTCCGATTTTAACCAAAAAAACCTATTTTTTGCCGGTTTTTTAATAATAGTTTAGTCAAATCAAGGCATAAAACTTAAAGATCGACTGTTCCTCATTCTGACTTATATTTTTGTTATGGCAGCCAAAAAGCTGAAATTTTAGGCAAAAATAAATTAAACATTTTCAGGTTGAATTGCCAAACGATTGGAAATTAAGCAACGAGCTCAACGAGGTATGACATTATTCTTTCTGACTTATATTTTTGTTATGGCAGCCAAAAACCTGAATTTTTATGGCGAAAAAAGAGTTAACATTTTTGTCAAAAATACAAAATTCCAATTTTTGTCAAAAATTTGACATTTTTATCCGGTTTTTCCATCGTAGTTCAGCCAAATCAAGGCGTACAGTTAAAAGACCGACTGTTTTGAACAGCTTGCTAAATATGCTAACGATCCTCATCACTTTTTGGAAAATTTATTTTTTGACCAATTTTCTTAATTTTTGTAGGGGTTACATAACTTTTTTTCGAAAAATGGCAAAAATTAAAAGTTTCAAGGTTGAAATGCCAATCGATTGAAAATTCAACAACGAGCTCAACGAGGTATGACATTCCTCATTCTGGCTTATATTTTTGTTATGGCAGCCAAAAAACTAAATTTGTATGGCGAAAAAAGGGTTAAATTTTTTGTCAAAAATACAAAAATTTAGATTTTTGTCAAAAATTTGACATTTTTTTCCGGGTTTTCCATCGTAGTTCAGCCAAATCAAGGCGTACAGCTAAAAGACCGACTGTTTTGAACAGCTTGCTAAATATGCTAACGATCCTCATCACTTTTTGGAAAATTTATTTTTTGACCAATTTCCTCAATTTTTGTAGGGGTTTCATCACTTTTTTTCAAAAAATTGAAAAAATTAAAAATTTTAAGGTTGAAATGCCAATTGATTAAAAATTAAACAACGAGCTCAACGAGGTATGACATTCCTCATTCTGACTTATATTTTTGTTAGGGCAGCCAAAAATCTGAATTTTTATGGCGAAAAAAGGGTTATATTTTTTGTCAAAAATACAAAATTTAGATTTTTGTCAAAAATTCGACATTTTTTTCCGGTTTTTCCATCGTAGTTCAGCCAAATCAAGGCGTACAGCTAAAAGACCGACTCTTTTGAACAGCTTGCTAAATACGCTAACGATCCTCAACACTTTTTGAAAAATTTATTTTTTGACCAATTTCCTCAATTTTTTTCGAAAAATGGCAAAAATTAAAAATTTTTGGTTGAAATGCCAATCGATTGGAAATTAAACAACGAGCTCAACGAGGTATGACATTCCTCATTCTGACTTATATTTTTGTTAGGGCAGCCAAAAATCTGAATTTTTATGGCGAAAAAAGGGTTATATTTTTTGTCAAAAATACAAAATTTAGATTTTTGTCAAAAATTCGACATTTTTTTCCGGTTTTTCCATCGTAGTTCAGCCAAATCAAGGCGTACAGCTAAAAGACCGACTCTTTTGAACAGCTTGCTAAATATGCTAACGATCCTCAACACTTTTTGAAAAATTTATTTTTTGACCAATTTCCTCAATTTTTTTCGAAAAATGGCAAAAATTAAAAATTTTTGGTTGAAATGCCAATCGATTGGAAATTAAACAACGAGCTCAACGAGGTATGACATTCCTCATTCTGACTTATATTTTTGTTATGGCATCCAAAAATCTGAATTTTTATGGCGAAAAAAGGGTTAAATTTTTTGTCAAAATTACAAAATTTAGATTTTTGTCAAAAATTCGACATTTCTTTCCGGTTTTTCCATCGTAATTCAGCCAAATC